CCTTATGCCTCTGAGTAAACAAACTAAAAAGAGAGTTACAAGGGAATATTGAACTATTACTCCACATTGGAGCAAAGGAAGAATGTACTTGGAGTACAGATCCCTTAGGGATCTTAGTATTACCATACCCTATTATTAAAGTCAATGGGAAACTACAACAACCCAATACAGGCAGGATGACAAAATGGCCCACAACCTTCAAGAATTAAGGTATGGGTCATCCCACTAAGGAAAAGACCAAGACCTGTTGAGGTGCTTGCTGAAGGCAAAGGGAATACACAATGGGTAGTAAAAGATGGTAGTTATAAATGCCAGCTACAACCCTGTGATCAGTTACAGAAATGAGGATTGTAATTATAATTGTTCTCTCTTAATATGCTTCCTATGAAACATATTTTTTATAGACATTGGTTCTATATTGTTTCTTTTTGGGGGGGGTACTGGGGATTGAACTTGGGCCCTTGCGCTTGTGAGGCAGGTGGCAGAACCACTGAGCTAAATCCCCGGCCCTCTATATTCTTTTTTTTTTTTGGTACTGGGGATCGAACTCAGGTCCTTGAGCTTGCGAGGCAGGCGATGGAACCACTGGGCTAAATCCCCGGCCCCTCTATATTGTTTCTTATAACCAATAAGGTTAAAAGGTTCAAGTTATGAAATGTCAGATTAAGCATCATCCAACAGAAACTTGCCTTCTACTCTGGGGAGGAAATTAGTGCATATCCATTTGTACACAGGATAGGTGCACCATGTTAGGCATAACTGAGAACTTTTCTTTGTACGTGGAGACTAAGTATGGTTTAAGGAAATGTGTTTCACTGTCAAGTTGACAAGTGGGGAATTGTGGTAGTTAACTGTTGTGTCAACTCGAGTAAGCAGTGCCCAACTGATTGGCTAAACATAGCTCTAGGGTTGAGTGAATGGATTTACTGAAGATGGAAGATCAATCCTGGGTGTGAGTGGCACCAACCATAGTCTTGTTGCCTGAATGAATGAAAAACAGGAATAAAAAAGAGAAAGAAGAAGGAAGGCTTGCTTCTGTCTCTTCGGAGGAGCTCCAGTCTTTGCCTTTGCCTTGGATGTCAGTCTCCTGGCTTCTAGCACAGACTCTTCAGCCTTCCATTGCAGACCCTTTGGCGTCCTGATAGCACAGGACTCTATGGTAAGCTCCAGGTCTTCAACTTTTGACTGGATCCTTCAGTGCAGACAGCCCTGTTGCACTCTTCCACACCTGACGCTGCAGGTGGCCATTGGAAGTCTACCTTGTAAATCCATTTATATCTTATATTAAATGTTTCTCTAGGGCCAGGGATTTCGCTCAGTGGTTTCGCCACCTGCTGTGTAAGCACAGGGACCCGAGTTCAATCCCCGGTACCAAAAAAGACAAAAAACAAAAAAACAAAATCTGTTTCTCTAGTGAGCACTGACTGATACACTGTGGTTCAGAAAAATAAAAATACAAGTTAAGTACTCTGGTAAAACCAGAACAAAAGGCTTATAAATAAATTATTAGGGGCAGATAATAAGTGTTGAGAGTGAATTTTCAAATGACTTGGTCAAGGTTACATGTATTAATACCAGACTCAGAACTACTGTCTAGTTTTATAACTTTCAGCTCAAAGCCCCACAGACATCACCATTTCTGGAAGAACAAACATATCTAAACCAGATTCAGTATAAAGATCCAGTTTCATAGAATAAATAGGGAGTTCAAAAGTAAAAAGTATGTTAGGCAAATAAGAAAAAAGTGATAAGGTGTAGGTAACATTCTATCTCAGTTGAGAGCCCCATAACTTCAGGGGGCTCTTTCTGAAACCAATATAAAGGCTAAACGCTTTCTCAGTGACTTTTTTTCTTCTATTGGTGATGAGTATAAAACCCAGGGCCTCCGGCATGCTAGGCAAGTACTCTACCACTGAGCTACAGCTCGAGACCTCAAATGACTTTTGAACAGCATAAAAGGGCTGTGAGTCATTCTCCTAGTTCTTCTCTTGGCCTCAAAAAAGGTAAAGTGAGTCAATTTGGTTTTTCCATGCCCATGTTGCATTGAAATTTACCATAACAGCATCTGTTGCACAGATTTCACTTGTGGTTATGGCTTTCTCAGTACTCATCTTAGTATTCTTAGGCTCTCTTTAAGGTATACTCCAGGCAATGCAATCCTCTTCAACCCCCACATCACAAACATGCCTCATCAGTATTTCTATCAGCAATACCTGAACCACTTGCTACTTTTGCCTACCATAATGGCCAGCACTGTCCAAATCCTTTCAATGGAAAACTAAATGTAGTGTTTCTACATGAGAAGAGCTCCATGAAGACCATCTAACAGGGGTTAGAGTAACTCCAAAGAGGAATTACGGCTAACAGATGATGATACAACACAGAAAATTTTCTGGGCATAAAAGTAATCCTTTGGAAAGTTTTAGGACTCAGACTCAAACAAGCTCTGTTACAGGTGACAGCATTATAAATGTTATTTCATGTTTAGGTCCAATGGGAATGTCCACTACCCCAGATTTGATGTAGGGTTTCCTACAGCTAAACCTACTGTCACTCTAGCTTTACCATCAGCCCTGACAACGAGAAATAACTGAGGTGAAATAGAAGCCATGGGCCAGTCATTGAAGAGCTGGGTGACTCTTAAGCAAATCCTTCAAATTATATCAAAAAATCTCAACAGGTCAAACAGGAAGACAAACTGTTAGTTGTCTTAGTTACTTTTTTCATTGCTGAGACAAAATACCTGATACCCAAAGTTAAAAGAAAAAAGGTTTATTGTTGCTCGTAGTTCATAGAGGTTTCGGTTCATAGTTGGCAGGATAGCATGGCAGAAGGGGAATCGCAGAGGAGAAAAACAGTTCATGGCAGGCAGAAGGTAGAAAAAGCAGCAAAGTAGCAAAGCAACAGGAAGTGACAAGAGATGACCTGCTTTCTGTCCCTTATATCTTATCCAGGCTACTCACCCTTAGGGGAGGTAGCACTCACACTCAGGGTAGGACAGCCTTAATCCTAGTATCCTACCATGAATCAATCCCAACATCACATTCTCTTTTTTTTTTTTTTTTTGGTACCAGGGTTCAAATTTGGGACCTTGCACTTGTGAGGCAGGCAGTAGAACCACTGAGCTAAATCCCCAGCCCCAACATCACATTCTTGATCCCAGCAGCACACATCCTAGATCCAGCCACCTCTAAAAAGCCCCCCATGTGACTGCATGAGGCTTTGGGGGGGACATCTAGATATAAGCCATAACATCAGTACATTATAAAATTTGACAGATTAGAGATACTCCAACTTTCTCTTACCTATGCTTACTGAGTCAAATGCCAGGCCATTAGCCAACTCTCCTCCTCCAAAACACACTCAGTGTATGACCAAGTCTGAGCCATTTCACCTGCAAATCCTCAAGTCTTACCTCTCTTGTACATCTCCAATGTCCCTGTCTCCATCTAAGTATCTCTTCTCTTGGGGAAGGTGTGGGGGGTGGGGCTGGGGGCTGGGGGTGGTGTTTGCAGAGAAGAAACTCTCAGAGTGGAGAGAAGTACTCTTCCCTCTTTGCTGGTTATCTACCTTTCTCATACATATCTCTACTCCAGCATAAACTACATAGCTATATTCTTATATCTGCCTGCCAACTACTCACCCAGCCTCCAGTTCATCCTCAGCATCACTGATGGCCATATTTTCATTTGATAACACTGCCAAGAGGGTTAATTAATTACAACACTCAATTAAAATCAGCTACAGAATTCCTATTGCCTGAAAAATAGAGCATGTACCTCACTCTAGGACTGACCCATCTCTCCAGCAGTTCTTCTCTAGCTGCCATTTATGGACCCTACAGGTATCAAAAATAGTAGATGAGCTGGGGATTTAGCTCAGTGGTTCCAGTGCCTCCCTCACAAGCACAAGGTCCTGTGTTTGATCCCTGGAACCAAAAAAAAAAAAATAGCAGATGACCCAAGACTCCTAGAAAAAGCCATTCTCTTTCATTTCCATGCCTTTGCACATACTGTTTCCTTCTAAAGTACACTTATATAGCAGGCAAGATGTACCCTTCTGTGTGAGCTCTTCCTGACCCAAGATGTTCTCTCACGGCTCCCATAACTTTCTATCCCAACCTTTGAAAGTTCTCTAAGTAAAAGAATTCTGGTACTTGCTTCGGCAGCACATATACTAAAATTGGAACAATACAGAGATTAGCATGGCCCCTGCGCAAGGATGACACACAAATTCATGAAGCGTTCCATATTTTTCAGTTTTTATATTGACATTAAAATGATATTTTTTACTTCCGACAGTGAAAAAAAAAAAAAAAGAATTCTGAAAGACGTATCTTCCATTTACAGATGATTCAATGGCCAGGACTGGCCAATAAAGATCTATATCCCTAAAAAAAAAAAAAAAAAAAAAAAAATCTATATCCCTAAAAAAAAAAAAAAAAAAAAAAAATCTATATCCCTATTATAAAACATCCATGTAGGCCTCAAGTATCTAGTGACTTATTGGCCACGAGGAATAAAAAGATTTTATTTTTGGTACCAGGGATCAAACTTGGGACCTTGTGCTTGTGAGGAAGACAGCAGAACCACTGAGCTAAATACCTGGCCTGAGGAATAAAAAAAGGAAGATTGAAAAATACTACTTTTATTAGAAATGGACATGAATTAGTAATATCCCTTTGAGTCCTTAAAATAGAGCCTAGAAAATACTTTTTGTAAATCCATAAGTTCTAAATTGTTCTAGAAAATTTCCTCAACAATTTATTTCTGAAAACTCTGCCAGGAAGTTTATAAAATGAACATCCGTAACCTGATGGAATTACATAAAGGGCCAAAGCTGAATTAAAGTAACTAGATCTAGAGTTTAGATTACTTTGTAATGTCTATTCCTTTTAGTCACACCTACTTCTGTCTTTAGAAACTTTAAACAACTGAACCATTCATTCCATTCTAGCATTAGGGCTTAAGAGTTATACCAGATCAGCTCCTGAAGCCTACCTGAGCAGAGATGCCAATTAGAAGCAGCCACTTCTGGTACGCATCAGTTCGGTAGTGGATCATCTGATAACCAGCCAGACTGGCATGTCTATCAAACATCTTTATGGGCTGGGAGTCACCTTCCATGCTCCAGTGGTAGCCTGTGGTATCCGTCACCAAGGCAACAATGTCCACAGAGATCCACTTCCAGAAAATCACCTCTTCTGCCATAGTATAAGCCTTCATTTTACTCTTCATCTCAATATTAAAGATTTGAAGTGTCTTCTCAGCTAGTATTTGATGAGATGAACATTAGAGAAAAACAGATAAAAATTTGAAAAACAAATTCTTACACTCTTAATTCTGAATCCTATTAATAATATTTATTTAGAGCTTTTTGATTGATTGTTTTTTTGAGATAAGGCAAGGTCTCATTATGTAGTTTAGGTTGCTCACTATGTGACCCAGGCTGGCCTCAAACTTGAGGAGATCCTCCTGCCTCAGCCTTCAAGTGCTGGGATTTCAGGCATATACCACCACAAGTTGTACTGTTTAAAGCCAATCTGATTAACAAGGAAAAAAAGGCTGTCTGAGTACTAATTAACTATACTCTGATGTTTAAATAGTAAGAACCTTCCATGTGTCAGTTCTTTAGAAGAATGAAAAGTACACAAATATTTATAGATTACATGAGTAACAATCAGAAATCAGTTCTAGGGCCGGGGATTTAGCTCAGTGGTTTTGCCACCTGCTGCACAAGCACAAGGGCCCAAGTTCGATCCCTGGTACCAAAAAAAATCAGTTCTACTCAAACAAGTCTTGAGAGACAGTTTTAGACTTATTTCTTTTAGATTCTGTTTTATTCTGTGGTATTGGGAATTGAACACAAGGCCTTCACACCAAGAAGTATGTCTAACCCTCTCTCTCTCTCTCTCTCTCTCTCTCTCTCTCTCTCTCTCTCTCTCTC